TTGTCCAGGGTCCAGGGTCCAGGCTCCGTGAGGGAAGTTCAGGCCTGGGTCCCTCCTGCACTGTGGTACCGGGCCCGTCATCCCCAATAGGAAACCCCACACAGCTCTGGGCCACAGAGGCCTGGGGCGTTCATGGACCTTGTATTTCAGGCAGGAAATGGGGTAATAAGTGGCACTCCTGATTAACCTGCTTCCTATAGTGGAACAGGGAGTCAGGTTGAGCCCTGGGTCCCATATGACAGCTTACTCCAAGCACCTGGGGAAGATTAGTGCCATTTTCCACAATCCTATCTCACTGAAGGCTCTCATCAGAGAGACTCTGGAAGCCCCCCAAGGGGTTGCCAGCGGGGGTCTGACCCATGGATCACACAGGACTTGGCAGGGAGATGCTCCAACCCCGCTCCCCAGCCACACAGCTCAGAGCAGGTGGTGCCAGCACCTCCCCATGGTCTCCCCTCGTCCCAGAGGCCCAGGGTACCTTGAGGTTCCCTCGGTCCAGGGCGGCGGTCAGGTGCTTGCGGACCTCGGTCAGCTGGGGCCAGGGGCCTCGGGGGCTGGCGCCCTGCCGCAGGGAGTGCTCCTTCAGGTACTGCTCCAGCTTCGACTCCCCGAGGAGGAGTTCTGCCATGTCATCTGCCAGGACAAAGGGAGAGGCTAGGTGAGGCGAGGAGTGGTCTCTGTGCGGGGAACCCCCCAGGGCCTCAGGACCCCCCTTGCTCCACGCCCCCAATGAGGCCCACCTGGAACCTCATAACCTCAGGTGGGGCCCAAGTAGGCACCATCTTAGGGTGCAGTCCGGGCAGCAGTAAAGAATGTTCCAGTGTACGCACTCAAACGGGGGCGGGGAGGGGGGGGGGCTCAAGCACTGTCCTCTTTTGTCACAAAATTACGGAATCTAGAAAGACGGATACAGTGACACGGAGAGAGCTCCAGTTCAGTAGAAAGACATAAAGCTGCCTTGTGATTCATTCCGTCTGATCTTTACAAAACACACACAGGGCCCAACCCGTGTCTTTCCTGAGAGCGATGCAGTGGAACCTCCCAGCCCGCCGTGTTCTATGGCCTTGGTACACGGATACGAGCCGGGAGAATGTCTGTACAGTCAGATTCTTCAAACGAGCTTGTGCCAAAACAACCTGAATGCAGGCAGTCTGTTTTTGTCCCAAAGTCAAAACTATACAAACAGCCCGGCCGGTGTTGCTCAGGGGTTGAGCTTCGAACTATGAACCAGGAGGTCATGGTTCGATTCCTGGTCAGGGCACATGTCCGGGTGGCGGGCTTGATCCCCAGTGTGGGGCGTGCAGGAGGCAGCCAATCACTGATTCTCTCTCAGCATTAACGTCATTGTCTCTCCCTCTCCCTTCCTCTCTGAAATCAATAAAAATATGTTTTAAAGAACTATACAGACATTGATATCAGGGAACGTTTGTACGAAGGCTTTATCCCTAAGAGAGTAATACTTATAGCAGTGACTTCGTTGGCTGGTTAATAGAATAAAAAGCTCACTCCAGCGGCGGCTCTCTGGATCCACACATCCAAGCTGTTCTGAACAAAACCGAACAATCTGTACACCAGCCTGAGCACCGTCTATTTCCTCTGTGGTGGGACAGAACCTCATTGTGTCCAAATATAAAAGCAGCTTTAAAGTCTGGAGGGATGTACCTCAAACCCATGCTAATAGTTGCCACTGGGGTGCAGGAAAAAGAACCCCAACTGGGGTCAGTGGCCAGAAGGGACCTTAGCTTGATCTTAGCGTGCCGGTCCTAGAGGAACAACCACGGTAGGTCTAGTATTGGTGCAACACAAAGTTCACTGAGACTCGGGGGCAGGGCCTCCGAAGGCCAAGAGCTGGACGGAGAGCCTTCCCAAGGCCTCTGCTCGGTGACCCAGAGCTGCTGGGCCTCCCGTTCCCAGCAGCGCCTCCGTCTGTGCTCTGAGCAGCCAACAGTAACCTGCCAGAGACGATGCCGAGGGCCCCGGAGGAGCTAAGCAACACCAGAACGGGCAGCGTTAACTCAGAGATCTGAGCTCAAGGGTTCTGTGGTTGTCCAAGAAGAAAAAGGAAATCGCGAGGACATCAGGCAGGACCAACAGCAGGGTCCCGGACCAGTGAACAATAAAGCTACACCGGCCAAGGGCTCAGGGGCGCCAGTGTAGCCCAGTGGATGGACCAGCCGCAGCGCCCGTCAGGGACGAAGGTAACAAGCAGCTTCCTCCCAGAACGGAAATCCTGCTAATAAAGAAACCCAGGGCTCGGGGTGAAGGGTGTGCAGGCAAAGGCCTGCTGGTGAGTGTCAGGGCATTCACATGCACAGTCCTAAAGGCGTACAAGGAGCACTGCTACAACGGAACCTGACTGTTATACACCAATACAATGTATGTTTCAGGGTGGAAAATGTGGGGAAAGGCATTCCAGGCAGAAGGAACAGAATGTGCCAAGGCATGGCACAGCCTGGTTGTTTGGGGAACTCCAAGTGATTTGTTAGAGCTGAACCATGAGGGGCAGGGAGAGGGAGAGGGGAATGGTCCTGGGAGTTTCCTGCCAGGTGGGCAAGGATCAGGTCCTTAGTTCTGGAAGGAGCCGCACGCTCCGGCGAAGAGCTTACAATCTAAATTGAAATTCAGCATGGCTGCTACAAAACCATTTTTGAACTTTTTTAAATTCCCAGGCTCCAATTAATCTCTCAAGCAGATTGTTTTCTTTATTCCCCTGCAAAAAGGTGATTTCCCTGCCATTCACTCTCCCAACCAGGAGGTAGAGATCTTAACCACAGCAAGGAGCTCTCGTGCCAGAGCAATTACACCAGGGCTGCGCGGCTCAGTGCGAACGGTGAAGACGGCTCGGCGGCCTGACCACGGGCACTGGCTGCACCTGCCAAGGACCTCGCGGCAGAATCCACCAGCAACAGAAGAAAGGGCACCACCTAGCCGCTGCTCATGCCCAGTAGAGTGCCCAGCTACGTGCTGGGACAGTGGGATGCAACGGGAAAAGACCCCTCCGGGCACACAAGAAGGTTCATTTCAGATCAAAGAGTTAAATACAAAATAAAAGAGCATCAAAATGGTAAGAATAGACTTTCGCTTCCAGCCAAGACAGACCAAATTTAACCTCCCATCGGAAACCCACAAAAACATGACAAAATATATTTTTAAATAAAAACAATTTTCAAGACACTAGACATCAGGCAACAGAGGAGTGATCCCTGGGAACCGGGTAACAAACCAGGGCGGCGCTAGGATTGCCGGGAGAGTTCTGGCGGCAACAGGGGAACGGGGACACTGACAGCAGAATTCTGCCTCATGGAAGACTTCAGTCTCAGTATCTCTTCCCCTACTTCCTGCTCCCACTCCCCAGGCACTGAGGAGGGCACAGCTGGGCACAGCTGGGCATGCCCCAGGAGCAGGCAGAGCTGCAGGATTGCAATGCGGGGCCGGGACGTACCTTCCAGGATGAAGAAGCTCAGGGTGCCCAGGGCTGGTTCCCCGACCCCACCACCATTTTGGGGGGTTAAGTGAGGCTGAGAACCAGCTCTCAGTGACTGTTAGCGGGCTAAAGCCTGACATCGAATAGAGACCGCTCCTGAGATCAGCATGGGCCTCAGCCCCCGGGAGGGGCCTCTGGTACACTGGTTCATCTCCAAACGGACGATCCCCAATCGAGTAAGCCCGGTGGCTGGCACAGTGCAGCGCCCAGGCGGCCTCGGCCCCCCTCAGACACCTAGGGACGGAGGGGTTGTGACCTTTGCCCCTTGAGGTGACTGTCCCTTCCTCACAGCCCTCTCCCTTGTGGGATAAGCAGCTGGCACAGAGATTTGATCAGATGATGAGGGGGGGGAAAAGTTAGGGTTTCTACTCTATTTCAGGGAGTACTTGATATCAATACAAAAAAATCTCCAGGACTCGGTTTGTATGTCAATAGAGAAGCACTGAGGCCTATTCAAACCATTCCCGCTGGGGCTCCGATCCAAGAGGAACAAACAAGTCCCTATTCACGCGGGAACTGGTTCTTCAGCGGCCCCTTTGTTACCCAGCAGAGACAGCCCAGTTCTTGGTTCTTGTGTCTCAGTCTCAGGGTGACCTCAGTGAATTCCATCCCCGGGTTCATCTGGCTTCTTGTACGTCGGAGGTAGCTTACAGGTGTCTTAAGTTTGTGTGCTGGCCATCCCCCTCCCCTCCCCCGCACAGAGCGCTGACACAAAACAGACAGACAGGTGCTGTAGGGCAATTTAGCAACATCTGCCACATGATCGCTGTACCTGAACTGTCAGGCCCAGAAATTCCAGTTTTAGCAACTTACCCCACAGATACGCGCGCTTGGAGCGCGAAGATGGGCAGATAGGGATGTTTACTACACGCACCCCCCCTGGTGACAGCAGAGGACAGAGGTGGCAGGTGGCCTGCA